GACCCACCCATGACCCGTCTAACCCACAAACCCAGCTCGACCCACCCACGATCCGTCTAACCCACAAACCCAGCTCGACCCACCCACGACTCGTCTAACCCACGAACCTAACCCTGGTGTGTCCAACTTCTCCGACCCAACCCACGACCCGGCCCACCCTACCCTACGTGTGTCGTGCCGTGTGTCATGAAACCCCAACCCGCGACCCACCTAACCCTAACCCAGCTCGCACGACTCGCACGGTGGACACCTCTAGGTGTACGGTACACTGCGGTTTCTAGTTTCCAGTTTTCCACCATTCCACCAACTTTGAGTGGTATATATTTTTTTTTTTTTTGAACTGAATGGGAAACTTAAAATTAAACAATACGTATTTCATCCAATTCTAAAAATCTACTATGTCTGTCCCTAAATAATATTCGTTCATGTTGTGTGCAATATGTACAAGTATATATTATTCCATCTAAACAGTATTTTTTTTTATCATATTAATTAATGAATAAATTCAACCAATAAATAAATAATTATAAAAGAAAATATATACATCAAGAGGATTTCACAAGCTAGATATAACATAGTCATTACTCTGTATTTAATTTTCTTACTTGTATAGTATCACATAAGACAATCCACATAAAGTTTGTAAGACTCCGTTTTTGTTCACCTTATTCACTTGTTTCAGAAAAAATATGTTTTTAAAAACCACGTTTTAATAAGGTTTGTATGAATATGAGTTACTCAAGTTCAAATTACAACTAAAATAACCTCTAACAAATTCTAATAAAATTTATATAACTGAAAATCAGGTGAATTAAACACACTCTAAATAAAGCTAAAAGTCAAACTATTTTAGTTGTAAAGAGGATATGATTGTATTAATTGGGGTAGGGTACAAGCTGAGGGGCGCTAATAGGAAAGTAGTGATCGGAGGGTGACATGTTGAAGGTATAAAGATGGAAAACGACTCTAACGAGATGTACATAGCAATGAAATTATGAAAATGGTGGGCTACAAGTAACAGCCATTACAACTTACAAGGAGGTGATGTTGTGCCGGAGATAAGGGTGGGCCACAACCAAGGAGGTAGTGGCAGTAATAGTGGATGATGCAATTAGTATTATTTGCACCATAATTACACTTAGGTGCACCACGTCTATGTTTTTGAACATTTAGTAAAAAAAAATTGAACATTTTATTAAAAAAATAAATAAATATTTAGTAAAAAAATATGAACACGTCTCAAAAACTGAACATAAACATGCAATTTTTATGTTCATGTTTTATAAGAAAATGTTCATTTTGTAAACAATAAATGTTCAGTTTATATTATAAAATTATTGAATTATTACGAGTTAGACAAACTTCTTTCAAAATTTGTCTGATTTGTAATAATTCAAAATTTGCGGTTGTTCGGATTTTTTTTTACTAAATGTTCAAAATTTTTTTGTTCATTTTTTTTACTAAATATTCAAAAGTATTTGCGTGGTGCATTGCGATTGTTCAGATTTTTTTTTTTATTAAATGTTCAAAAATTGCAATGTTCAGATTTTTTTTGCTAAATGTTCAAAATTCATGATTGTTCAGATTTTTTAACTAAATATTCAAAAGTATAGGCGTAATGCATTGCGATTGTTCAGATTTTTTACCTAAATGTTCAAAATTTGCGATGTTCAGATGTTTTTACTACATGTTCAAAATTTGCAATTGTTCATATTTTTTTACTAAATGTTCAAAAGTAATAGGTGCACCATGGTGCATCTTAAAATTTGCGTGGATGATGAATTTAATTGTTGACCGTTGAGTAAGGATTTGAAAGGGGAGTAGCAATCAAATAACTTTTAACTTATACTGATTCAGTATTTAGATTACTACTCGTTTTGTCCTTCGTTATATAGTTATACTCTCTATGTTTTCGTTATAAATACTCATTTCCTTAATTACACTTTTCAAAACACTACTTTTATCATTAATATCTCTAATTTCGCACTATAAACATTATAAATAGTTACTTATATCATAACAATTTTAATATGACCTGCCATCACTCTTTGCATGTCGGTGAGAATTCGTGGTCAAACTTTAAACTCTATAAATCACTCTTTGCATGTTGGTGAGAATTCGTGGTCAAACTTTAAACTCTATAAACCACAAATACATTGAATGGGTTATGAGTACATCAAGAGCATATGTATTAAGGAAAATGATTTATTCAACCCGTATAGTAGGGTTACACTTAATAAGGAACAAAAGAGGGAATCTATATCTATACTCCCTCCGTCCTCAAATTAAAAGCCTTAAATTAAAAGCCTCTTTCTCTATATTATGTGAGTAATAAATGCTACAAAGAGCATTTGTCTTAAGGGATGGAAGGAGTACTAATCTATTAAAAGGTGTTTCAAAAAACGTTCATGTGCCATGTAGATCTTCTCACTATACCACGTCATCCACTCAATTACTCATTACGCCACGTGGCTCTTCTATCCATGTGCTTCTCGATCTCATTGCATGTCATACACTTGTAATAAAAAAAAGTTCTTTACAAGATTTGAACATGCAACCTCTAAGGGCTTGTTCTTATTGATTAAACTCAGTTGAACTGAACTGAACTGAGCTGAACTGAAATGAATATTTTATAAGAGAAGGAAATTAGGAGCTGAATTGAATTGAACTGAATTTCAACGTAAGAGAACAAGCCCTAATTCTAAAATTGAGTATCTTACCACCAAGTTATGTGATATTTTATGTTATTTTTTTTAACACAAGATATTTATATCTAACGAATAACAATATGAATAACAAATTTTAATTGCAACAAAAATTGAATCATAAATTAAACGTATATTAATGATCAAACCCTATATAATGACCCGGGGCGTTGCTCGAACCCAAATACTAGTTAATATTTAAAAGTAGGATTTATGGTAGATTAGCAGGGGAGCAAACTCCCAAATCCTCTCCTCTAGGCATGCCACGTAAGCTACCATATTAGCGCAACTTAAAAGGAAAACTTTGACAATCACTCACACTGTCACACATAAGGAGCGAAGAAGAAAGAAAATACTTGAAACTCATGCCGATGTTAAACTTTGACTAATAACATATTTAATCATCATTAAATATAAATTATATATTAATTATCTAATCACTGAAACGATTCTAATAACTATCCGCAAGACTATATTTTTTTTTCTGTATAATTCACAAACATTGGTCAAAATATGTTTAGTGAATAGTGCCAAAATTTCCAATAGGGCCTTTAAATAAAACGAAGGGACTATTCCAATACAATAATGTAATAAGGGTCTGTTCTGATTGATTGAACCGAGCTGAACTGAACTGAACTTATTGGAGCTGAACTGAATATTTTATGAGAGAAGGAAATTAAGAACTGAATTGAACTAAAGTGAACTTATTGGAATTGAACTGAACTGAATTGAAAATAATTTGAAGAGAACAACACCTAAATCATGGTTGACATTAACTTCCATAAATATTCAACCCATAAGGTAATAGACTTTTTTCATTCTAATGACCAATACAATAATAATGAATACAAAATACTTATCAAAATTAACAAAAAAAAATACGTTGCTAAGGAACATCCTCGGGACGTTAGATAAGCATTTCAAAAATTTCTTAAAGTGGTTTTAATTTGGAAATGCATGTCAAAATTACGTGTCGAACAGTGCAATTAATATTTATTTTAGCTTATCCAACGCCCTAGGAACATTTGTTAGATTTTGCCAAAACATAAAAAAAATTTAAAGAAATGGGAAAAAAATTTTGACTTCAAATATGCACTGTCAATCCAATAATTTAACTTAATAATGACATAATGTTACGGAGTATTAAAATTTTGTGCATTAGCACAGGGCACACTGTAGTATTCACAGGGCACACTGTAGTATTAAGTTATTCAAACATTAATCACAAAAAAAATTGGTAATTTTGTGATATTCAAAAATTAATTTTCTAAATGAGTGAATGACAAATACAAGTAATTTAAATTAAGTACGTGGTCATACAATTTAGGCCTCAAAAGTAGCTAATCTACTACGTAGTATAAGAAAGATCGATAAATGCACAGACCATATTTGATATCCTTAATTTGGCTAATGAAAGTAGTTGAGACTTGAGATCGATATACTAGTAGTAATTGCGTATTAGCTAGCGTGTAGCAACTAGCTACAGTGTCTTAATTCTAATACCTTCCCCAGATATAACCTTGTTATTGGGCAATGATTCCTCATAAAATGCACCTACCATTCTACCCCTTTTTTTTTTGTTTTTTTTTTTTGGTGTGGTATTGGACTTGAAAATTATGAGGATATATGGTTCATCCATGCATTACTCTAAGACGTTATCTCCCGAAATTATTAAGTACCAATGTCCCATAATTGTGTTTTACTTTTGACCCCCTCTCCAGTCTCGACCTCTTGTACTTCCTTCCTTTTATAGATTGTACATTTGACTACCACTTACGCTGTGATCTTTTGAACTTCTGGACAAGTAGAGTAGAATAGAGCAGATTTTAATAGAGCTTAACAAATTTTAACTAGCAAAGCAGAACAAATTGCAGAGTAAAACAACTCAAAAAAATAAGACTTTACACTATTCGATCTTTAATTATTCCCATCTTAGACCCTATTCTTTTGAGTTTCTGACAGAGTAGAGTACAACATAACAAAATAGATTTCAACAGACTGTAAGCAGGGTAGAATAGCTCAAATAAACAGAGCCTTACTACTACTTAGCACATTAGCTATGACTATTGAACTTAACCCAAATTTTGTTAGTCATACAACACTCCACGTGTCCTAATTACCCAACTAAACCTAAAATATCATTTAAGCCATTCGTTCATCTCACTGATTTTCTGACAATTACTACTCCTTATAAAACCCTTTTCTTTTGGGACCCACATTATTATTATGATCTCCAATTTCATGGCAATTTCGTAATTACATCACTGTATCAACTCCATATATTTAACAGCAGATCACAACTCATCTTTTTTTCCTCTCTTCTCTCTTTCTCTCTCCAATTTTCTGCAATTTTGTGAAGATCTGCGAGCAGAGAAAGAAGAACAAAGAGGAGTAGTATTTGGAGATAATCAAGCCTTCTTCTCTCTCTTCTTTCACCAATTTTACTTAAAAAAAAAGGCTTAATTTTTCAATTTCTCCATTGAAGATGATCTCTCTTCACAGAGCCAATTTCTTGGTAATCTATCATAAACCCATTTCATAAATCTCAATTTTAATCAAAACCCATTTCATGAATCTCAATTTTAATCAAAACCCATTTCATAAATCTCAATTTTAACAAATACCCATTTCTTCAATTTCGGATCCGGGTCATTGAATTTACTTTTTTTTTTTTTTTTTTTTGGCAGAGTAACAAACCAGGTGTACCCGGGCAATCAACCGGGTTGACCCGGTTTCAGAATCGAGGTCCTGCGGTGGTTCGGGTTGCGGTGGGCCCATCAAAAGGTCGATCAGGTGAAAACGGCACCGTTTTGACGGAGGAGGTGAAAGAAGGAGCTTCTGCTGCAATTGATTTGAATGATAAATCGACGGTCAGTGGTGGTGGTGTGGAAGACGTGTACGGTGAGGATTCTGCCACGGAGGACCAGCTTGTTACTCCTTGGTCTCTTTCCGTTGCTAGGTAAGAAAAAGTACCAAAAAAACAAAATCGATAATATCTATGCTTTGTTTGATTTCTTCCTTTTATTGTTTAAAAATATTTATGTTACTATCTATTTGTTTGTAATTATTTAGTCATACACGTTTTTCCTTTTGTTGTTTGTTTCGGTCAAGATTATGGTTTGGTCATTTTATGATGTTTGATATATTGTCCATATATGCTATTGTGTATCTAATTATTGTATACGGAGGAGTATTACTTTTGTAATTGTATAATCGTTTTTTGCATTGATGTTATGATATGGGTCTTTTTTTTTATTTTTTTTAATTGTTTTGGTTAGATTCTTAGATTTAGCTCAATTATGGTGGATAAAAAGAGAAAAAGCAAGAAAGTGCTACACTTGTGAGGAGTATCATTTCTAAATTAAGGTGTTGAGATTTGATTCTTATATCGCGCTACTTTGTTTAGAAAAGTGGAGAGAGCAAGTCTTGTGTATGCTACTGTAGTATTGATGAAAATTTACTCATTGAAGTTACCTAAATGAGAGGGAACAAGGAGGGTCTGGGGAGGTGGGTAATGATAAGGACTAAATAATTTTGAAAGACACGAGTGATCTTGCTTGTGCTTCCCTTGCACTTGTTTGTAATAAGAATCGGATTCGTCTTGTGACTTAAAACTTCTACGAGAGTGCAAGTACTATGTAATTTGTTATGGAATGTGGAAATTTGGGAATCTTCAATTGGAAAGGCATCTTCCAGGCAAAAAAGGGGTTTTGAGTGATGAATAGTCTTAAGGTTGGTGGGGAGAGATGGCCTAACTTACTAACTGTTCTTTGAAGTCTGTAATTCTGTATGATATAACAATCACAGAGACAGGAATGTTGACATCTTAAAAAGGCATTTCTACTGTGTTTGAGAACTACTTTATTGTGGATTATTATTACTACTATTTTGTTTCAAAATTTAATTTGGGAGAATGGAAATTAAATAGATAAATTTGAATGTTAGCTTATTTTATTTAATTATTCATTTACACCTTTTGTTACTCAAAGTTGAAGACGAGGATTAGAAAATGATGTCGGTACAAGGGTTGAATGTGACTTTGTAAATAAAATGTTAGAACTGGGTTGATATTGGGATTAAAGAGTCATAAGCTATGGCTGCTATGTGACTTTGACACTTAGTTTCACTTCAAGTACTTGTATTAGACCCTTGACTCTTAGGACGTGGGTAGGCCCGTGTCGGACATGGGTTCCTGAGTCTAACTAACATAGGTCATAAGTTTGTTGTCAAAGAATCCAATTTGCCCTTGATAGATTTAATGAACTAATGGGTGTAAAGATACTTAGGGTTTCAAAACTTGTGTTATGCTGCTGTAGGCTACACATTTGTAACTATTGTAAGTATATATTGTACATGCGCATTTGTCATGGGGATCTGGTTTTTAAATTATATATTATAAACCTTATTATTGATCTTCGCTGCAGTGGTTATTCACTGTTGAGGGATCCTCACCACAACAAAGGGCTTGCCTTTACAGAGAAGGAAAGAGATGCTCACTACTTACAGGGTCTTCTTCCCCCAGCCGTTGTTCCTCAACAGGTTCAGGTAATATTTCAAATGCAATTCCAGTAATTATTTCTTTTAGTTTTGAGTAGATAGCTTTATGTATTTTTTGGAAGTAATCATCATTTGTGATGGTTTTTAACAATTTGTAGGTGAAGAAAATGATGAATAATATCCGTCAATATCAAGTGCCATTACAAAAGTACATGGCAATGATGGATCTTCAGGTATATCTTATAGAATGACTAATAAGGAGTGAACATTTCAATACTCCCATCATTTTTCTTATTACTCATGTTTATATTTAATTATATGAAGACATGAGAGAAGCAATTGATTTTATGATAAAATGATGTTTCATCTAGTGCATATAAGCAGATCGCTTGATAACGATTTAGTATAAACATCCCTCGTGTATGATTTGTTATTTATGCTTCAATAAGATGAGATTCGGTCAATTTCACTCAACAAACCACTGAAATTAATGAACAGGATAATGAAATGGTTGATACAAGTATTATATAATGATATCTGCATTCTCTGCCTTTTGCAGGAAAGGAACGAAAGGCTTTTCTACAGGCTTCTTATTGAGAATGTTGAAGAGTTACTCCCAGTGGTCTACACCCCAACTGTTGGCGAAGCCTGCCAAAAGTATGGGAGTATCTTCAGGCAACCTCAGGGTCTCTTTATTAGTTTGAAGGAAAAGTATGTCTGTGCCTTGAATTATATCTCATCCTTTAAGTAAAGTCCTTTTGCAGCATTTAGTTGACAGTTGAGTGTGATTTGTAAAGGGGAAGAGTCCTAGAAGTGCTGAAGAACTGGCCGGAGAGGCACATCCAAGTTATTGTTGTTACCGATGGTGAGCGGATTTTAGGTCTTGGAGATCTTGGTTGCCAAGTAAGTTATCTGTATCTTTGTTTTACTTTTTAAAATTTTGTTTTATATTCATATGATTTTACTTTATTATGGGATGTGTGCATTCTCTTCACAGTTGATGAGCTTTACTGTAGTTATGAAGATGACTAATTGTAATGGGCTATATCTTTTCAGGGAATGGGAATACCAGTTGGAAAGCTTGCTCTATATACTGCTCTTGGTGGAATTCGTCCACCATCGGTATGTGCTTGCCTGTTCATGCACGGGCCCCATTTTATTTATTCTGTTTTCTTTTTCTTGGTGAATAGCAGAAATTTCTGAAATGCAAAAATTTATTAGTGGAAGGGAAGAATATATATTGCTTTTCACTAGCACTTAGGGCCTGTTCTCTTCGGTTCAATTTGAGTTTAGTTCAGCTCCAATCAGTTCAGTTCAATTTCTAATTTCCTTCTCTCATAAAATATTCAATTCAGTTCAGTTCTGTAAATCAGAATAGGCCCTTAAATAGCTGTTTAAAATTCTGAATTTACTGAAGTTTTTATTTTTATTTTAATGTGGTTTGGATAGTTCCATGAAGACCATTTCGCCTTTGTTTTGTAGCTTGGTACTTTTTTTGACCTTTATAATTCTTGTTTGTGCACGTGGTTTATGTGCTTGCCTAGTGCCCTTGCCTATATGCATACAAGTTGCTACTGCCCTTTTGAGTGCTTCTTTATGCCCGTAGTAACTACATATCAACGTGCTATGATTTCCTGACCAGTGATACAGGGAACGCGGGACGTTGAGGCGAATCGCGATCTGAGTCGTTCGTACCGAATCGCGGAACGAACGCGACCCAAATCGCTAGGGTTCGCGACTCAGTTCGTAGTCGAAGCGTTCCCTTTTTCTTCTTCAGCAAGGTCGAATTTCTGAGTCAATAGCGGCAAAAACTGAAGGTTTACAGTGTTTGATAATGGCGAGTTTGCGAGGTTGAAGAATTATACAGCTGTTGAAGATGATAAAGTGAAAAAGAAAAAGTTGAGGGGGCATTACGCATGAGACAAAACTTCTTTTTGAACTTCTTACTATATTAGGGCCCTCAATATAGGAAATAGGAATATATATTCATATAAAGTTATTATTTACACCTTTTTTTAGTTTACTGAGTTTTTACTATGTCATTTTTTTTGTGCTAAACTTTACTAATGTCATTAGTCTCTAAGTCTCCTACTCATTACACTAGCTTATTGGGAACTTGAAGTCTTGAAAACTGAAAAGGACAACTTGCAAGTGATTAATGTTTTAACTATTTTTTGGATGAAATGAAAATCAATGTTTTAATTTCAAATTAATTTTTAGTTTTTTTTTTCAGATTATTATATATATATATATATATATATATATATATATATATATATAAAACTACACCCAACGTTCCCAATTCACTCAATGTAGCGTTTCCCGTTTCCGTTTCCGTCCCGCGTTTCGTAATCGAATTTCGTTCCTTGTATCATTGTTCCTGACTTATTGTGTGTCTTAGAATGTGATGTTTGATGATGTATATAAGGAGCTCAATCAGGTCAAACTTGAATGCAATTTCCTTTTTTTGGGTACAAATAAATGTGCAAAGAGAATAGAAAGCTGATATAACAATGCACTTTTTCAGTGTCTGCCCGTCACTATTGATGTGGGAACAAACAACGAGGCATTGTTGAAAGATGAGTTCTACATTGGACTTCGGCAAAAGAGAGCGACTGGACAGGTGTTTGATTGCTACTCTACAATATGGAGACGATTAATTTAGTCTGAGTTCTACAAGATACCAAGTCTATTTATTTGTTGTTGCAGGAGTATGCTGAACTTATGCATGAATTCATGACTGCTGTGAAGCAAATATATGGAGAGAAGGTTCTTGTTCAGGTGATATTATAAGAACTTAATAAATATATTATTGGCTTAAATAATTCTGTATTTGTGCCATATGCATACATCTTTCCTCCATTAATCCTATGCTTAAATTTGTGCAGTTTGAAGACTTTGCTAACCACAATGCATTCGATCTACTTGCAAAATATGGTAGCACCCACCTTGTCTTCAATGATGACATCCAGGTAATCTCAAGTCAGTAATGTCATTAGCTTATCCTTGAGTCCATTTTAACTCTGTTTCTCTTATCTGCTGTAGGGGACTGCCTCTGTTGTCCTTTCTGGACTTCTTTCAGCACAAAAATTGGTGGGGAAATCATTAGCCGACCAGACTTACTTATTCCTTGGAGCTGGAGAGGTATATTATAATTGCACATTATGTCTAGGGCTAGCTGTAATATTGGAAGGAGCCATTCCATGTTTTTCAGCACAAAAAGTTTCCAAATTTGAATTTCCCATGATTTTTTTTTTCTTAACAACCATTTTCCATGGCCATTTTTATTTTCAGCTATTTTTTCTTACCTAAAAGCAAATCAGTGTATAGAAATGGGCTTTATTATTTTGAAATATTTTCTAGCTTTCTTCCTTATAATATTTCTGGTAGTTTGGCAAGAATGATTACAAACTCTTGTATTTCCTTTTCTTCTTTGCTCAAATGTTTCTTGTTTCATAATCCAGGCTGGCACAGGTATAGCAGAGCTCATAGCTCTTGAAATTTCAAAACAGGTTAGAGCACAATTCATTTGTTGATAGATATAGCTCTTATTGGTTTTCATTGTATTATATTGAATCAATGTACGCTGCTTATTAATGCAGACCAATACACCTGTGGAGGAGGCTCGTAAGAATATCTGGCTTGTGGACTCCAAGGTTAGAAAAAACATAGAACATACTGTACTTGATCAATTCTGTTGAATTTTTGTCTTCTTCTGTTTATCTAATATTCTAATGCATAATGAATTACAGGGACTGATAGTCAATGGTCGCAAAGAATCACTGCAACATTTTAAGAAGCCCTGGGCTCATGAGCATGAACCTGTGACAGGACTCCTCAATGCTGTTAAGGTAACTTTCTTCCTGTCCTCTCCATTCCAAACTGCCTTTCATGTATGTTCAATAATATGCATTAAATTCTTTTTCTATTTCCCATCCTTTTATGTAGACCTTGAAGCCCACTGTCTTGATTGGGTCATCGGGAGTTGGAAGGACATTCACCAAGGATGTGGTTGAGGCAATGGCTACATTTAATGAGGTGCTGTTTTACATCATTGTTTTGTTATCTCCCTTCAGCCCCTTCTTTCTTTCGTGTCCTTGCTCTTTTTATGGAAAGTAATTGCTTTCATGTGACTTCCATGCAGAGACCTATCATTCTTGCATTGTCTAATCCAACTTCACAATCGGAGTGCACAGCTGAGGAGGCTTATACATGGAGTAAGGTAAATAATTAACAAATGCAAATTTCTTCTTCTTTTATGTTGATTCTTCCCCTTCATCTCATTTAAAATGTGCTCTTTTGTTGTTTTGGTAAGTACTTGGAGATTGAAAAATTGTATGTTCTACATTCTATATTGTTTATGCTTCTGGAAATATTAAAATAACTAGTACTATTGTTCATTTGTTCTGCAACTTTCAGGGCCGTGCAATTTTTGCAAGTGGAAGTCCATTTGATCCTGTCGAATACGGAGGAAGAACTTTTACATCTGGACAGGTCTTTACTCTAGTGACTAAATAATATTGTAAACCCTCATTTTAAAGTTTGGCCAAGGTTAATTTTGTTAACTTTTTTCTTCAGGCAAATAATGCTTACATCTTCCCTGGATTTGGTCTTGGCTTGATAATCTCTGGTGCTATCCGTGTTCATGATGACATGCTCTTAGCAGCTTGTAAGTGTTATCATTTTGTATTACTGATTTTCTCAGCTATGTGAAAAGATATTCCCACCTTAATTTGTATGACAACTAGATAGGAGGGGAATAGGATGTCAAGTGATCTAGGATTCTAGGTATGGTGGTGCACTGGTGTGGTTTATATTTTGAATAAATAGTTGGGATTTAGTTCAACACATAGGCAAAAACAACTCTTTGACGAGCCATCTAATGGTGGTTAAATTGGTGCTTTTAGCTGACTTATCTTTAAGGATAAATAATGTTAGGAGAAGTAGATATAGATCAGAGTATAAGTAGGTGCAGATTTGGTACCCTCAAAAATTTGGTGCAACCTGTGTTGATGGGAGTGTGGTTTGGAACCCTATCCCGTAAACCAAATTCATTCTCTCTTGTATACCATGTGAGGCTGCAACCTAGATCAATAATCTTATGAACCACATAATTGGAGGGTTTTTTTTTGCTTGTTATCAAATTTTCATTTTGTTTTTGGGTGCGCCCGATTTGCTATGGATAGCGCTTTGTTGTAGATCCAATGATGGCAATATGATTTATAGAGTTAGTACCTATTGCCACTTGAGCGGAGAGGAGTGATGGAGCATGTTGTGATTTCTTCCAATATAAAAGAGCAAATTTTATGGGACTATACTTGGGCAGCTTTGTTAATACACATCATAATGTTTACCCTATTAAAACATCAGAGTAAGGGGTTGCAGCTGCAAGCTGTGAAGCATAATTGCATATTTTAGATAGATGAGTGATATGATTCATATGAATATGTATAATTGCAATGATTGAGAATTTAGATGGGAGGGAATCAGTTACATGTTTACAACATGTACATCATTGAGGAGTGGACTTCCTAGAATTAGGGAATTTTGGAATATAAGAGATCTAAATTGAAGTTTGGGAGACCAAGGATCATTAGGATTGAGAATTTGAGAGCAATAAAAGAATCTTTAGGGCCTCATATACATCTGAAATAATATATATGATTATAATTTTGGACAGAAAGTAGTTACGGAGTATTTTTTTAAGTTGAGGTCATTTATTGTTCATGTCCTTGCTTATGATACTTTGTTTGTGATGCAGCGGAAGCTCTTGCAGCCCAGGTAACCGAGGAGCATTTTGCTAAGGGTCTTTTGTACCCTCCATTTAGGGACATCAGAAAAATATCAGCCCATATTGCAGCCAAGGTGGCAGCTAAAGCATATGAGCTGGGTGAGTTACTCTTTGTGCTGAAAATCTATAATTGTAATGCTTGATTTATGGAATTGTACAACTTTATATAACCCATCTTTGATAACTTTCAGGTCTCGCAACTAGGCTACCGCAACCAGAGAATTTAGTGAAGTATGCTGAGAGTTGCATGTACAGCCCTGCCTACAGAAGCTATAGGTGATCTTTTCTTGAGCAGTTTATGGAATCCTTTCCCCCTCTTGTTGTTTGTTGAAGTTCATAAATTAGTTTATTGTATGGATTTGTCTGTCACATGTAATGTTTTTATTAGACACTTCAACTTTGAAAAAAAAGAGAGGAAAAAAAGAGGAAAAGTATGATAGAGGTGTATGTGTTTACACCTCACTTCTCAAAGACTCTAAAAGTAGATTAGAAGCTAGAATAATTCAGAGAAGTACCGATGATGATGATGAAAAGAGCTACAATCTATGACGTCGAACTCTTAACTAGGATATTTATATGCAGAAAAAGGGGGGGGGGGGGGTGAGAGGGGTGGCGAGTGGGATGCTATATTGCTATCAGAGTAGTAAATTCTTTTGTGTAATCAGTTAACTAGTGTTATTCCATGAATTCTTAAGATTAATGTATAACCTTATGGAGTTTAAGTGTGTAGAACCATACTCGTATCACATTTCTTGATTGATAATGTCGCTGAAACTGATTCATAAATAGTCTGTTAGAACTTAGAGATATGATATATCGGAAAATATATGTCATATCTCTAACATAGTCCGAATAGACCTCCTAGTTTATGGTGGGGATAAAAAGGTCGAGGGTAGATATCTCCCTGCTTATTGCCCTTTTCCCCAGTCTCACTTCATGAGTTCTAATCTATTTTAGCACCTTTGGGTACAGAATCACCTTTAGCAATTTATGAGTACCTACATTTTGCAATCAACACCATCTCGAATCCTTATTAAAGCCACAACTAGGGGAACAATCAATCTATTGAAACTCGAGTATCCGAATTACACTTAATATCACTCTTCTAATCAATAAAAACTAGATTTTCTCTAGTTTGGAACATAAATACTGAAAATATTTACCAAAATCCGAGATCTAACATTGCATGATACATTTCCTTACAAACCTTAGTACATTTAGCATTCCGTATTTCTGTTGTATTATACAAAGTACTTGTGTATACGATGAAGACATGAAGTCGAGTCGAATCACGCATGATCTTGCGGATTTACGTTACATTCTGTAACTCTAATTTAAAACCCATTTTGTTTCTTTGAAATCTTTTTATGAGTTTGTTTTCCTCTTTAATGATTAAAAACAAGTTCATACAGTGGACTAGTTCTCATCTTCGTGTTCAGAAGGCTTCTTACCGTCGTTGCGCCCAATTATCCATTTAATTTATTTTAATTAAGAACATTTTACCTTAATCATCTTACATGGATGGTTCTCCGAAAATTAGTTTTGTTTAAGCAATTTCTAAAGAAGGTCCTGTTCACTTCACCTTAAAAAAATAATATTAAGTAAAAATAATTTTAGTTCAATAAAAATAAGTTAAGTTCGGTAAAATTAATTTCAGTTCAGTAAAAATAAGTTTAGTTTAGTAAAAATATAATTTTATTTCAGTAAAAATAAGGTGAAGTGAACAGGATCAAAATCCTACTTTTCTTCTTGCCAAATCTACACGCAACTATATTTATAATAATTATTGTATCAGTACCTTCTAATAGTACCTATATAGTGACATTAAGATTAAAGTAATCAGATAAAGTTCTTGATTCAAATTCTATCTATAACACTATATTAGGAACATGTTGCCTAGAATAACAATAATGGAATATTTTTGTGCTCATCCCTTGATCTTGAATGTAAGCCACATGACTTTATCTATAATAATAGATTAATGCGAGTAATGTTAAAAACATTCATTTTCTGAATTAATACCAAGAACACTATAAAGTATTCCTCATATCCCCCGGAATTTATTGACATATTGTCTAAAGTCTTCATAATTAAGGATGGTATGATTTTACATAATGCTTTTTTTTAGTGGGTAGAAAATAATATTGTTTTCATCACCGCTTAAATTGATGGTACTCCGAGTTGTAACTTTCTTGTTTTCATGCTTCTCAAACATAAATCTAATCATTAAATATCTTCATATATCAATAAGGGAGATGCATCCAAAAAAAAAAAAAAAGATTTCTGTTAACCTTAAAAGAAATCATTTTTTAACCTTATTTTGTTCAACTAAAATTATCTGTAATAAATTCAATTATTTTTGTTGAACATAAATTGTAATTAGTGACCTTACCTCATCATGGCTAATTAAAACTTACGGGGTAGTATATAACAATTTAAGTTGGATATATCAATAAGTGACGACTATTTCAATAATGTATGAATACGTGATTGAATAATGAGTAATTGTCCATATTTGGTCAAGATGATAAGAAAAATTGAAAAGTAGCCTAGTTGTTCTTGTTTGTTGATCATTGCTACATAATTTCTATATTATCCTTTGAGTAATGACAAATGAGTTATCGTATAAATTAATTTGAATGGATGCAAACAAGAAGCAATGAGATTAAAATGACCAAAAATGCGAATCACATTGTTTTTTAGACTTCAATTTAGCTGACTCTCAAAAATATAACCGCGTTTGGACTTTTTTTTTTTTTTTTTTTTTGACGGGAAACGCAAGCAATATTATTAACCTTCAACTAGGCACGAATCGGCCAAAACCAGATGAGTTACATCATGAGGATAATCCTCCAACCAAACTCTAAAGTCAATATAAGAATTACATAATTTGGCTAAGCTATGAGCCACCTTATTGCCTGAACGCTTCACAAAAGAAAAGGAGCACATCTGACATGATCGAGCAAGCAAGAGGATGTCATTGACGGTCCTCCCAAAGGCGTCTGGACTTCATTTCATCGAATGGACCGAATTTCACAATTTCTTACTCACAAAGTCACAACTCACATGCATGAGCATGAGCATGACCATCTGAAATTCATGGAAATTTGGTTTGATTTTGAAAAGAAAAGAAACGAAACGAAGAGCAAAAGAAGTTAATTTTTCCTAAGGAAAACTTTGCTACTCATTATTCTTTATTAGGAGCTTTTGATTTTTTAATTAATAGACCAACTTAAAATATGGAGAGATTTATTGTAATTTAGAGTATGTGTAAGATAAAGTGAACATGAGTTTTAGGTGATAAATTTCGCTTTTCCAAATTACTCCTTATCACCATTTTTTTATTATAAAAAATCCACCATTTTAAATTTGTTTTAAAAAAATATAAATTATTTTATCATCCTATTTAATTACTCATTAGAAAAAAAAAAATACTCTACAATTTCATCAACTACTCATTTTTTTTTACTAACAAGCTCTATTTCATACATTTTTTTTATCAACAATTTTTATACTTACACCCACTAATATTAATAGAGCCTAATAGATTTCTTATATTGCGAGCACAGACACATGTTGCTTGTATTTCTTAGCTTATAAATATAAGATGTACATTGACAAAATAGTGAAGAATATTGTGAACTTATTTTAAGTTGATACAATATGTTTTATTAAAATGTGATGAATAAAACTCTAAGGTCCTGTTTGGTTCACCTTAATTTTGCTTAACTGAAATTATTTTTACTGAACTGAACTTATTTTACTGAATTGAACTTAATTTTACTGAACTGAAATTATTTTTACTGAACTGAAATTATTTTTACTGATTTTCTATTATAATTTTCTTTAAGAAAACTGAATTTTATTGAACTAAACTTATTTTTACTGAACCGAAATTATTTTTACTGAACTGAAATTAATTTTACTGAACTGAACTTATTTTTACTAAACTGAAATTATTTTTAATTAATATTATTTTATTAAGGTGAAGAGAACAGGGCCTAACTCTCTAAGAGTATGACTCTTTCTAATTATGTTAGGATTTAGGAGTACATAAAAATAGAATCTAATGACATAATTATCACAAAGACAAACCCCAATTTTGAAGGCGGCTAGATAATTTGACTAAAATGCACCCAAAAAAAAAAATCTCGTCATATTCTAGTCTCTTTCAAACAAAAGAAAGAAAAGAACTAGAAAACTCCTTATAATTAAGTACTTTGATGTGGTCAGCTTTGCCGCAATTAGCCAATTATAGGCCGTCCAAATAGAGATATCAAATAATATTCCCAAGTGTGTTGGAGTCCAACTACCTAAAAAAACAAATTTGGTTTTGCTTCATGTCAATTTTTTCTTTAGTTTTATTGTACATATAAATACACAAAATTCCTTATCTATACAAATTATTGGCATTTATTGTGGTGCAAGAAGCTTGTGGATATGACCACTTCCTAGCAATTGTAGCCTTATCGTCGTGGTGTTTGTAGCGATTGAGGTCATTTACTCATTTTAAGGAGATTGTGACGATTGTTGCCAATGTCACGGCCAAGAGTAATGGGAGGGTTACAAAGGTGTATGTAGACCATGATCTAACACCATACGACAATGCAAAATTTGTTTTAAAGCATTAGTATAATAATACGTTTCATCTTAGCCCTCTTAGGTTATGCATAAATAGACAAATAATATTATGTAAGTTACATCCGTTTCTTTCTAATTTACTCATTTTGATTTTATTTTTTTTTAAATGTTATTTGATAAATTTAGGTTACCGGCATTTTTAGAGGTTGGTAGTCTAAAACTATATTTCATGATTATAACTAGGGGCGGAAGGACCGGGGGGGAGGGGGGGGCTACAGGTGGAGGCACAGCCCAGATTTGCAGTCCACTTTTTCAATGCTTGCCCCCCCCCCCCCCCTAAAATTATTACATAGTACTTCTGTTTTTTTATTAGTTGACACGTTTTGACTTTAGCACTATTCACACATTTCAATTTGACCGTGTTTTGTGATTTATATGTAATGAAAAATATAGTGATGTGAGATCTTGTTAGAATCGTTACGGAATAAAATTTCTAAATATCAACTTTTTAGAGTTTTTGCTTATCGGAAATTGAAGATAATATTGGTTGAATTTGTGCACTGGCAAACGTGACTAAAGAAACGTGTCAAATAAAAAGAAACAGAAGAATTATACTATTAAAGACACATAAATTTAAGTAAACAAGGCTTGGTATGTTGATATAAAAAATTAATTTATGTGATATAATTTTTTAGAGTTATAATCTAATAATTTTTTGAATAAAATTATAATTCAATTTGTACATCTGAAATATTGGTATTTTATCGAAAATTAAACTCTAAACTAACAATTTTATGCTAAAATTCTATCTAAATAAAATTCTAAATTAATTTTTTTTATCTTATGAAGTTTATTAAAATCTATCCAATGTGGCGCAACACTTGGCGAAAAGTTATAATGCCAAGTGTCGATGTCTCATGACCTGACTAAAAGTTTAGCTTTATATATTAGTTATTATATGATTTGGCTAATTTTTTTTGTCAATTGAATAGAACTTTAGGCTAATTGCTTACGTTTAATATGAAATATCAAATTTTTAGGGTCATATGCTATTTAATTTGATAATTATTGTTTTTTTTTATATTGATATCATGAAATCAAAAACACTAGTTTTTTTTTTTAAATATATATATATATATATATAATTGCTGTAAATTTTAGTGTTGAATCTTTATTGATGATTTTGCTATTATGAAAAATCATAGAGTAAAATTTAACTCTTTTTTTTAGTAATAATAAAATATTAGCACATTTAATTTTTTCTATTAACAAGTCCGGTCCCCATTAGACTTGAAAATCCTGGCTTTGCCCCTGATTATAACATGGTCTCATTAAGTCATTGATCAAAATGGACTATGTAAATAGAGTAAATGTTAAAATAGGTAATAAACTATATATTAATATTGTTAGGGCTACTGAATGGATCTTGTTGTAATTTAAATTTTAAAGGCCTAATGGAGTATCATGTTTGAATAATTTACTCTATTTACATATTAAGTTTGTTGGGTTTGACATTGCGCGGAAACAAAACTCGATAGCCGGATCGTATGCATAATAATTACTGCATAAACAAAAGCATGCAAATAAACAAAAAACACAAACACAAGAGAGAAGAGAAAGAAAGAATACTCACCCTCAACCGATGAGCTCGGACTTGAAAACTTCAAGTTCTGCAAGCGTGAAAGCCTCCAACGACTCACACCCTCGCTACCAAACCGTAACCGACCCCTACCCCGTAGCTTAAATGGGGCTAGACCAATTAACTTAGAGTTTACGAACAAAGATTTTCTCGCTTTTGGAGATCCCTTAGAGTTTACCAACTTAAGTGAAGTTCCCAATGCCTAATAATTGGTATTTATAGAGAAATGTTCCCAAGAATTCCCATCATCTTTCAATGTGGTATAGTCGGTAAAAAGGCAAAAAGTAAGATTTAATTTTAAATTAAATTTAAAAGCCAAAACAATCGCCAAACAACAAGCTAAGTGGCACAAAGAGAGCAAGGGGTTAGGTGAGGACCACAAGGCAAGGACCACCTTCCCCTTGCTCCCCAAGAAACCACCCCTTACACTCAGCCCTAATCAAATCCCGCCAATTGGCAGCGTGGCTTGCCTTGGGAGCCAAGGTTACCTTGCTGGCGGCCTGGCCCCTTGGCTGGGCTTGCTAGTTGGCCCATGCGCTAGCATCCTCGCACCAGCCTGCAGCAGCATGCCTTGCACATGCGGGTTGCTAGGCGCTGCTGTTGTGCCGCGCACCAAGCTCGGTGTTAGCAGCAGCTAGCGAGGCCTAGAGTGCTAGCTTGCGGCAGGCGCTACTAGCATGCAAGCTTGACCAAGCCCCAGTTAGCCATTTGTAGCCTAGCCCTCGCTTGGCTACAAATGGTTAGCAGCCATTTGTAGCCTAGGCCTCACTTGGCTAGGCCAAGGCGAGGCTACAACTATAATTTGACTTGTTTGGATGATTTTTTTTTCGTCTTGTTGATTCTTAAATTCGATTCGACTTTCAACACTAGGCTTCGACACTCTAAGCTCGGAATTCGACGTCGTAGTTCGTAAAATTTCTATTGACTTATTTAATCCTTCAGATTAATTCGTCGCTTTAATTATGTTACACGATTGGGTGTGACCCGAAGGGTTCAGTTAAGATTAAACTATAATATTAATTATATATTAATATTACTGATCGAAAGTGGCCTCCAACTAGACATCTGATCACTTGACCTCACTGAATAATTAACTTCCCTAATTAATTTCGAGCCCTCTATCGGAATAATAAACTTATTTGAAGGACACCATTCCTTTCAAAGTTGGGTGACAAAAATATTTTTACTTTATCTTGATAGTAATTTTTTTTTTGTTTATTTGATGGAGATAATTTTCTATTTTTTAATCGATTATAATATATCATATATTTTTTTGGCGGGATATATCATATATCCATATCCATATCTTATAAAAAGTTTGACTAAATTCTTATGAACGTGCATGAACATTTATATTCTTAAAAATGTTCTCTTATACATTTCTTTCCATTTGATTTCAAAAGCTTTAAAATTGTTCCTTGAATTCCCTAAATTGATTAAAATATTTTGTTTATTTCAATATTTAAAGCCATTTTTATTCTCTTCATTTCTGTATGTTTTAATGTCCTATTTAGAATTCATAAGACATTTATATTTCTAGATCGAACTCAAATTTTTTACCATTTAATTACTAAATCAAAGTAGCTCAACAAAAATTTTTCAACAATTCACAACTACATATGCAAATAGTTTTAATAAAATATTATGCAAATAGGCATAGGGCATAAAAGCCACAGGTATTGTTTTCAAAGGGCTAGCCATTCGTGCATTGAAATACCTAGTAAGTATGAAATATTAGAATTTTATCGAATATTAGACTCTAATGTGGTCTTGTTCGCTTCACATTAAAAATAATTTTAGTTCAACAAAAATAATTTTAGTTTAGTAAAATTAATTTCAGTTCAGTAAATATAATTTAAGTTCAGCAAAAATAATTTCAGTTCAGTAAAAATAATTTCATTTCAGTAAATATAATTTAAGTTCAGCAAAAATAATTTCAGTTCAGTAAAAATAATTTCATTTCAGCAAAAATAAGGTGAAGTGAACTGGGCCTAAGTCTAATGAAGAAATATAACAGGGAATCAGTAAAAATAATTTCAGTTCAGTAAAATTTGTTTCAGTTCATCAAAAATAATTTTAGTTCAGCAAAAAAAAATTTATATTCTATAAAAATAATTCCAATTTAGCAATAATAAGTTAAAGAGAATGGAGCTTAACTTTTTAAATATCTAATTTGAATTTTGTGGATCCCTTAAAATCGGAAGGAAAAGTCTAACCAACTTAGCTATCCATCATTCTCCACTTACCTTTTTTTTATTTACTTTTTTTTTTATAAGGAGATAATAATGAAATCGCTACCATAATATTCAATAATAATTAATAATAAAAAAAAAGAGTTATATAGGTTCAACTAGAATAAGTTAAGTTCATTTATAATTAAAAAAAGGTTAATTTATACATAAAAAAAAATTAAGTAAAAACAAGTTTAATCGGTAAACATTAAAAAATAAATACAATATCTAACTAGTAAAAATAAGTTTCAATCATTAAAAATAATTGAACTATAGTCCGTAGTAAAAATAAGTTTTAAGCAGTTAGATTTATTGAATTTCTTTAAAAATAATACTTTGTATAAATAAGGTGAAGAGAACAAGACCTTTGTATCTATTTATTGAAATCCCAGGAGTATATTAGGGATGATTTACAAAATTATGGTTATTTGAAAACTTATTTACACTTTTGCCTCATAATGAAAACTTAATTATAGAACCATTGTCCACGTAGGCTCGGATAAGTTTATTTTTAGCGGTTTATGTACTCCCGTTCACTTCACCTTATTTTTATAGAACTGAAATTATTTTTGCTTAACTTAAATTAATTTTACTGAACTTAAATTAATTTTACTGAACTGAAATATTTTTTGCTAAAATGAAATTACTTTTACAGATCTCTGTTATATTTCTCCTTTAAAGTTACTGATTTTTACTAAAGTGAAATTATTTTTACGGAATATTATTTTTTTTTAAGGTGAAGTGAACAGGGACTAAAACCGCAACTTGAGGTAACAGTTTTGACCTTTATAAATTGCTACTCTGTATCTTTACTTGTAATACTAAAGACAAACCGCTACCTTAAGTAGCGCTTTTAGGCTAAAACAACTACTTAAGGTAGTGGTTTGTGAAAAACTACCCAAAATATATTCACGAGCCTACTTGGACTGTATTTTCGTAAAGAAGTTTCATTCCAACGCAAAATCGTAAATAAGTTTCATTCCAACACAAAAAACTACTCTCTTCGTTTTTAAATACTTGCTCCACTCTCCATTTGCGACCGTATTTAAATACTTGCTCCATTTCCTTATTTGAAAAACATTTACAATAATTAATTAATTTCTCTCATTCAGTGGACCCAGCATATATTCTCTTTCCTCCAATTCTCTCCACTATTTTTGCTTTCTACGGAGTATAATTTTTTATTCTTCCACCAACCCCACTATCTCCATATTTTATTACTTTCTCCAATTCTCCTAAAACTTCGCACATAAAAAAATGGAGCAAGTATTTTAAAACGGAGGGAGTATACCTTTGTAAATCATCCGTATATTAGTCACTTTTTTTTTTTTTTTTTTTTTAGGGCAATTAGTCACTTAACAAGAGTAGGATAGTGCAGTTGTCTACTCCTTGTCAAGATTATGCTTAGCTTGGTAAATCTATCCAATAATCACTCTAATGAGTGTACAAAAGCTGTACAATTGAATCTAATAATTAAACTTACCTCCAATGTTTGATTTCTTTCCCTCTGATACAAATTATTTATGATCTCTTACCTTATATAGGATACTTATTTATTTTTACGCGTTATATTAAATAGATCAAAAACAATAAAAGTTGTAACATTTCCTTTTAAAAAGTTTCCAGCTCTCCGCATTATCCTTACGTTTTTAAAAACTAACTCTGCATTATCTTTGCATTTAACTCACTTACAGCTAATATATTAGAATTATTACACATTTTTCTTACTAATCAAAACTAGATCTAAAATATTCTATTTTTCAAAAGAACTAGATCTAAAATATCAATACGAATTTTTCATCGTAATACTCCCTCCGTTTTACAATTATGTTCCTACGAATAAATATAAATACTCCGTACATGATCGTATGAACACAAAAGAAAAAGGAAAAAGAAAGCAGGCAGGACGTTGGATTCACTCCACACATGACACACACCGCGTTAATTCATTCTCCTCCTTGATCTCTTCTCCTCTCATTTATAATCCTTTTATAACTCCCTTTTTTGGAAACTATTAATCCCCATTTTTCTTTCTTTCTTCCTCCTATAAATATATTACAATACCACACAAAAACTTCATCCACCCCTAGAAAAAAAAAAAAAAAAAAAAAAAACACTCACTATCTTTTCACTCTTCTTCTACAAATCATAAAATCAAAATTTTCAAAATTTCATCTAATCAAAAATCTAATTTTATTTATATTCAATCTAATCCAATTTAATCCCCCCAAATTCACAATTATTTATATTCATAAATCATAAATCAATCTCACCATTTTATTTCTTTTCATCAACCCAAATTCCCAAAAAAAAAAAAAGAACAATTTTTTTTAATTTTTTATTTTACATGCAAATCCATTTTTTCTAAAAAAGTTGACACACCCATTTTACTCCGCCATGACAAGGCGGTGTTCTCATTGCTCAAACAACGGTCATAATTCTCGTACATGCCCAACTCGCGGCGGCGCCACCGCTAACTCAACCGCCGGTTCCGGCAGCTCGTCCGGTTGCGGAGGCGCTAGAGGCGGCGGCGGCGGCGGAGGTGGTGGTGGGGTGAGGTTGTTTGGGGTGAGATTGACGGATGGGTCATTCATGAAGAAGAGTGCAAGTATGGGAAATCTGTCTTTGTATCACTCAAATTCATCAGCTGCTGCTTCACCAAATAATAATAATGCTAATTCTGCTTCTGATGATCATGGGTATCTTTCTGATGATCCTAATCATGCTTCTTGTTCATCTAATCGTCGTTCTGAGAGGAAAAAAGGTGGGCCCTTTTTCTAGATTTTTAAAATTTTGATTATTTGGATCATTTATGTATTTTTTTTTAGCTTTTTTGGGTATTTTTTTAATGTTATTTTTGGTTGTGTGATGAGTAAATATTTGTGGATTTTTATGGGTGTTTTTTATGTGTTTATTTTAAGCATTTAAGAGAAATGAGGATAAAGCCAATATATGTGATGTGGGATTTGAGCAAGTGGATATAAGTTGGTATAATTATTGATTTTTTTTATTTTTAATTTTCAATTTTATGATGAAGTTGGTGGATTAGTAATAAATGATGATGGATACAGTTGGTTCTGGTTTTGTTCCTTGTATGTTAATAACTTGACAATTCCAATTATACTAATGTAATACTCATTGAAAGAATATTGCTATAGTAGCAAAATAACCCTGTTAGTGTTGGGGCGTTTTGAGCCTTGTGACTCTTGTGAGTGAATAGAGTACGAGCCCGGAATTATACGATATTACGTAATCTCCTTGTCCAGGACCATATGATAGTAGTTGAGGGGCGTGATCGCGTGAGCAGGTTGTGATTGAAGGATGTACTAGTCTGGGACCATACGATAGTACGTAATCCAGGACCATAGTATAGTAGTTGGGAGGTGGGGGGTGAAGGGGATAGAAGTAAGATGTTACACCTGTGTATAGAACCAAATTTTGGAATTGTGGTGTTGGAAAGAAATGATGGATGGTATATTGACGGAATTTGGGATGGTATATTGACGGAATTAGGGATTTTGAGGGGTGTATAGATGTTCCACGTATTGGTTTGTTATTGGAATTTTTTGATAGGACGATGTTGGTTGTTGTGCTGTTGAATAGCATGCTTGATTTTCAAGGGGATTAGACATTCATGCTTTTTTGATAATCTTAAACATTTGTGGTCCTGGTATTAGAATTTATGGATAGCCCCTTATCCTAGTAGGAGATTAGTTTAGTAGTATGTGTGTTCAAGGTATACTGCTGCATGCGACAGTACAAGCTGAGATGATTTGCTGTATCGAGTCATGTTGTTGTGGGCATCCATGTCTCTAGTATTGTTCCATTGATTACTCAGATTCTTGGGAGGAGTTTTGTAGGTTCTTGGACTAATCAAAGCTTTTTGATCGTAATTGATTTTGTGTGAATGTCTGTTATATGTTAATGATACGGGTCATAAGGACGTGCTAATGCACTGTAGAAGGACAGTGTGTTTTGAGTCACGTAAAAGTTATAGATTGTCTGAATGCAGTAGTTACAACTCTTACAAGGTGTGCTGATCTTGGGGGCTCTGTATATTTGATCAATGTGATGGTGGGTGTGTTTAATTTCATCAATTTGTATCAGTGTACGTTTCAAGAAGTTGCTGACTGCTAGGTTTTTGCAATGAGCATGGATAATGGTGGCATTACCAACTGCGTGATAGTAACTTTACATTTTTTTTTAATTCTGCAACCACTACACATGAATGGCCTATGACGAAGACTGAGATGTTTACTGGGTGTCAACTTAGGATTCCTGAACTTTTCCATGTGAATGGCCTTGGAGTTGCTGGTGGATTAGAAGGGAGCAGTAGGATTGGTGTGTCTTGACTTGGTGTAATTAGTGAAAATGCAAGAAACACTATTGATGAGCAAGATTGGACATGTATTTTAGGGTGAGGGAGTAGCTGCTCCATCTCACCTTGTCCTATTTTCACTGTGGAGGGGAGAGGGATGTTGGTTTGGTGGGGATAGATATGAGGGAAGTGTTTTAGGGGCTGGTTGCCTTTGGGTTTGGGCCCATTGGCTGAGATAGGTAGGACAGGCAGTGGCTGGCGTACCATGTGAAAAAGCGGGGCCTGATTTGTCTCATGTTGTTCCAACATCATGAATCAATAATGTTTTGAGAATACTTGTGAGGTAATTTGGTAGTTTGGTAAGGTTGACTAGCACTACCCTTTTTTCTCCTCAGCTTTAAATGGCCTCACATGCTTTCGTGGACTGGAATTGTTTTCGCAAACCTTGTTGATGTTGTTTTATTGCTTTTAGTACTGTCTTGATGGTTTTGCTTTTGTCTTCTGAACTCTACCGAATTCCTATGCCCTTTTACTATGGACTTGAGGGATGTGTTCATGTCAGGATGTCAACTACTCCCTCCGTCCCTAAATTACATTCCTACTTCTCTCTATTATGTGAGGAATAAATGCTAGAAGTAGGAATGTAATTTAGGGACGGAGGGAGTATATTGAGTCTACCTAAACTTTGGAAGATTTTTTAATCAGCTGACAAAGCTTTGATCGCCTTTGTTTGTTCCCCCTCCCTCCCCCGGTGATCTTTGCTTTAGTTACCTTGTACGCGAAGACAAACCATAGATATATGTAAGCTTTTCTGCAAAGATGTTGGTTTTCCTGATTTTGATAATTATAGTTTTCCTATATGCTAAATTTGTTTGCCTATAATCTTATTGAACTAATGGTTTTTCCCTGCCCACCTCCTAACTCCATCTATATAGACTTTCATTTCTTGTGAGGAACTGAAATCTGCAGATGTGAACAAATTTCATCATTCCTGTAAATATGAATGAGTTTCATCTCATTATATAGTTTGGCCTGACATCTAGCTTGCTATCTTCTTCTTTTCTTTGTATGATACTGAAAACTGCAAATGTGAATAATTTTCATCTTATCATATAATTTGGCCTGATATAAAGATTGCTACTATAATACTGTTGTAATACTGTTTTCAGGTAAACCATGGACAGAGGAGGAACATCGTTTATTCTTAATTGGTCTGCAGAAGTTGGGTAAAGGAGATTGGAGAGGGATTGCACGCAGCTATGTGGTGTCGAGGACTCCTACCCAGGTGGCAAGTCATGCTCAGAAGTACTATATTCGACAGAAGAATGCCAGTCATAGAAAGAGGAGATCTAGCCTTTTTGACATGGTTAGTTTTTTTTTTTTGTTTTTTTAACCCTGATTTAATGCTGCACTGATGGTAATGACATGTATATGACGCCATTTTTATATACCTTTTTTTTTTTCCTTCCCCATACTGTGAATAGAGATTTAAGCTTCATGGATAACATAAATTTTTCATGAACAAGCGCCAATGTATAGTCTGGTATCTCAGTATTAAGTCGTGACATTTTTTGCAGCACAGAACAGATGACAAGGATGTGGAACCTGATTTTTATTTATTTATTTTTTTTATAACAAAAAATTTACGGACTAATATGTTTAAGATGTCTCTTACATACAAGGAAGTTGCTAAATTTGTAAAAGGTAAAATGGTCTCATTGGGATTTGCTTGTCATATCTGGTTATCCATTCACCATTTATTAAATGATAAACATGGGGACATCCGGACATGTAGGATGTGGAGAGATATTTAGGATAGTCAACATTCAGTCTTTTCTTTGAATGTATATTGTTCATATATGTGTCATTGCCAAATATATATTCTGAGCTTGCTTACCTTTGACTCTTTAAGAACAGCCATACTCTTTTTTGTTTGTTCTCGCTTCAAAATGTATGTAGTAGTGATTCCAAGGTCCACTTTCTATATTGCCCGGCTTTTTCCATCATTGCCCTTTGTATCTCCTTAAAAATCCATCAATTCTATCCTGTGTGGACACAACTCTATATTGTATGTGTTCTGTTGGTCTTTGAGTGTTGGACACAGAACATGCAGCCTTCTAGAAGTGTCTTTGCTACCTAGAAACCCACATGTATGAATTGTTTATGCTTAGGTTTATTTTGAAACGATAGTGGGGAATGGGGCCCTATGCTTTGCTTTCAGCTGGCTCACTTATTGACAATTTGCTGGCCGACACAATATATCCACCATAGTATCTGTCTAGTTACATACTAAAGTAATAGCTTATTGGTCATTTTTATGACATGCTGTGTGGTTTCTTGAAGGTTTTCCCTTGTCTGAAAGAGAACAATTCCCTACTTGCTAAATCACTCGTGGTTTGCCTCTCTAGCTAATGACTTATTGCACTAAGGGCTGAGGCCTGTTATACACTAGTTGTCTTAATGTTTGAAAGTCTTGAGAATTTATTTTTCAATACTCAATAGTGCCTTGTGTTTATGGCATATTAGTTTTTTTGAGTTAAATTTGTTTGGGTAGGGTTCATGAGTAAGAACACCCAGTAGTAGAGTTTGCCAATGATAGTACTATATGTGCATAGTTTTGAAATGTTCTTCCACTAACCTTGTTTTAGGCCTTGATTTCCTGGCCACAATAATTTATTCTAGAAATAATTAGTTTTTTTCCAAATTGCATCTGGATGTACATGCTCATACTCGGGAAATTGTTTTTAAAAGAACTTATTAAACAATTTTGGTCAATTCATCCATATTGTTATGTTTCTTATGTTTCAGGTAACTGAAGAGCCTGAGACTGTGCCTGAAGAACAATTACTCCCCCCTCCGCCTGAACCTAGAGAAACCGATAACGCAACCTCACTGCCATCATTAAATCTCTCTCTTAGTACAGAACCTGAGCCCATGGAAGCCACTTCCACAGAAGAAGTTAAAGCAAATAATGAAACTCAGTCACTCCCGAACAACTTGACACCTTCTGTTCCTGCTTTCTATGTACCCATTCCATATCCACCCTTCTGGACACAACCCACAATCCACCCCGAAGAGGATAAAAATGGTGAAAACTCACAGCAGCATCAGGTCCTAAAGCCCACCCCAGTGCTTCGGAAAGAACCTGTGAATGTTGATGAACTTGTGGGACTGTCTCAACTCAATCTCAGTGAGACTGAAAAGTCCCATGTAGTTCCTCCACAGCTCTCTCTTAATCTTCTAAGTGCTCCATCTCGACAATCAGCATTTCATGCAAGTGTTCCTGTTAGCAGCTTAGACCTCACTGAAGGAAAGAACAGCGTGATTCAAGCAGTCTAAAGGATTTGAAGAGGATAATCTTTTATCCATCTTTTGGATGTCTTTTGTTCTGTTCGATGTAAACTATCTTTATTGTAGCTGGTAATAGGGTGCTGATAGCAGTTCTTAGCTTTCTGTCTTTGGCTTATGAACCTTTTAGATTAAATTTTATTAGTTGATTTACATTCTTTCTCCCTGTAAGGAAACTAGAATATTTCAATAATTGAGAAGAAAAAAAGAAAGGGAAGCAAAATGGCCATCTTGTACATCATCTTTGAAGAATCAAGTTTCTCTTGTCGGTTATTTGATATGCTTTCCTTTCTTCCATTGCTGTGATGAATTTTAAGTTGTAACCAAATAGTTAGATGTTATCAGGACTAATCACACCATAAAATTGCTGCAGATTGTATCATGCATGTCATCTCATTTAATTTGTTGAAGTCAACTGACAGTTTTGTGGTAAAGAAGGCATGTTGGTAAAGAATGGATATCAATCATATCATGATGTGCCCTTGAGCAAATATGATTGCAAAAACTAAAAGGAAAAATACACTTTAATAATCCCAACTATGGACAATTTACTTACAATAATCCCAACTATTGATTATTCTACAATAATCCTAACTATTAGGTGAGTTTTTCTCCAGCAGTCCCAAAAACCGGTTACCTGCTAAAAGGGTAAACTCTTTTTTTTTTTAAAACGCCACATGTCAACACATGATTGGCTTAATATAAAAAAAATAAAATAAAAAGAAAAAAAAATCAAAAGTCATCCCAGCCACCCCCTCCTCCGTTCAACCACCTTACACCCACCATGAAACCCTAGGCCATGGTGGCTCAATGTTTTTTCTTCGCCCAACACCGCGGCCCCGCCGCCTCGACCGTTCACCTACCCCCTCCGACCAATTGCAGCAGCGCAGCCCCACGCTGCTGTTCTCAACCACCACGAAACTCCCTTCTCTCTCCTTCTCGTGCCTCTTTCTCTCTCCTCCACTGACGAACACCCACAAACACCCACGCCAACGAACACCCACAAACACCGACGAACACCCACGAACACCGACAAACAACCACTGAATTCTCACGAACACCAACGAATACCCACGAACACCCACAAATACCGTACCCAAGAATACCCACGCTGCGATTTGGGGCTACTTGTGGTTTCACGGGCAAGGGCTTGGTGTTTTGGCCGGTTTCGGGGGTGCGGCTGGTCGTGGGAGCCGTTTCCGACTTGGGTGGCTGGAGAAGGTGGTGTTTTAGGGTTGGGCGGCAGGAGGTGGAGGTGTTGGTTAGGGGTGGCTGCCATAATTTTTTTTTTAGTTTTTTTTTTAAAATTTTTTTGAACCACTTACACGCTGACACGTGTCAAACAACCTACAATAATAGGTTGTTGACTTTTGTTGACCGGTTTGGGACTGCTAGAGGAAAACTGACCTAATAGTTAGGACTATTGTAGAATAATCAATAGTTGGAATTATTGTATGTAAATCGCCCATAGTTGGGATTATTAAAGTGTATTTTTCCAAACTAAAAAAAGGTGCAAAGGAATACATGCACATGTTCTAACTTATTTATTTATTAAAAACAAACATCAATCAATAACTAAATACTAAAGGCAAAACCAAGGATGATGGTTAAATTTTTATTCACCACTCTTTTTTTTGTCAAATCTTCAAGAAAACTAATTTATTTCCAATACTATTTAACTAGATGAAGCCCGTGCGATGCACGGTTTGTTTGAATTTTTTAAAATAATTTTTTTATACATATATTTATGTGCTAAAATTTGCTATATGTTTAGATAAAATTCCTAATATCAAAAGATAATATTTTATATTTAGTTAATTTAAATTGGAAAATCTTATTCGCCGATTTTGCTTACGTGGCATTTGAATTATTTAATTATAAAATATTTTAATAATCTCCTATTTAATTGGTTACTACTAAAATTTATAATCCTACCTGGCACACTAAGAAAATTAGATCCTATGTGGCTCTCTAAAAACTCGAGAAAAAACTCCCCTTTATATATATATACATTAGATTTCTAATTTGGCAATTTTATACGAATTATATTATATATGCATTCAATGATATATTTTAACAAATCTTTCGTATATTTTATATTAGGTATTATTTTTATAAAAAACAAACATATACTTTACACTACCTACTAAGTAATATGTTAAATAATGTAGTATCATTCTAAATCATATTATTTTTATTTGAAAGTTTGTTTGCTACAATTAGGATTATATATATATAATTTTAATTTATTTTATTTTATTTTTTGACAGTTGTGAAACAAGTTAAGAGTACATAGACCTCTTAGTCTCCTACACCCATTTCCTGGCTCTCATAGCCAAATCATGGGCTCTAGAATTAACAATCCTAGGGACATAATTAGAGCAGAAATAAGTATAATGAGAACCGAGGAGGATGATTTCCTTAACCAAATTCCTTAACTCTTTCGGTGCCTGGCTAGGTCTTCAAGCGCTCTAACACTTAGCTTACTATCTATTCTGATCTCCAGTTGGTTTTATCATCTGCATGCCTCCACATTGTACTTCCTTCCCTAATAGCCAGTAATTCACATTGTAGTGTTGAGCTCCAATGACCCTTTTCCCACCTTCCTGAACCAGCACCCCGTCTTTCATGATCAGCCACCCTACTGCATCCTTTTCCAAGCCCTATCCATAATCACTATTGCAACCTATTGATGAGAGTCATGCATGCCTCTATGCCAGTAGTTTAACTCTGCTTTCCCCGCCCTATGAGAACCCTGTCTCTAATTAACCGAGATGCCTCTACTTTATCCTTGACTTACTTTAGCAAAAGCTTCACTGCACATCTGCATAAGCCGGTCTGGAGAGCTGGTTACTCCTCTAAAATTGACATTGTTTATGTACTTCTTGATACTCCACAGAGTAGCTAATATCATTCCAACAAGCGCTGGGATTTATTTCTTCATACTAAACACATAGTTCAGAATTTTTTTTTATCCATATCGCCAGCCACCAGGCACGAGTCTTCACTTCTCATCTTAAGCCCTAGAGGGCCGCACAACTATATTCGTCGAACCACTTGGCAGTCTCTAAATAGGTGAGAGTCCTTACAAAAGACACACAGAGAGCTGACATTCAAACCTCTTATGATAAGCCCCTCGTTGCTGCCACAAGCGTTTTGCAGCACCTTCCAGCCAAGCATAAGCCAAGTTGGGGTTATTTTCAGTTTCCAAAATTCCTTCCAAAACTTGGGTCTTTCTGTTTCTCGGAAGGAATCCATCAACCATAAGTACCCAAACTTAACCGTGTATTGCCCATTTTCCGTCTCCCCCCACATGATCTCATCCTGTTCCTCCTGTCTTGGGTGAATACTCAAAATTTGCTTTACTTCTTTCAGTATATATTTGTTGATTTATCTCTCTTTCCAACCATCTTACATGTTATAGAATTTATATCCAATTACCAAATGGTAATCCTTTTCATCCTCTTCCCCACACACAGCTTCACTGGAATCACTACCACCATTGCAGATGAAAAATCCGCCATGGATGACTTGTTGAAATCTTTCGTATCATCTCCTTCTTCTGAGTGGGATTCTAGCCTCCACAGATTTCTTCAAATGGAAGGGTGTAAAGACTGTAATTTGTGATAATAGCAATAGGGTTACCTCCATTAATCTTGCTTCTCAATCTCGGAAAACTACACTTCCTTCTTCCATTAATACCCTCACTCAACTCACAACTCTTTCTCTTTAAAACAATGAAATCATTGGCCCTTTACCTTCTTCAGCTAATGTCTCTCTTATTCAAACTACTTTTATTAATAATAACAAATAACAATTTCACTTTAATCCCATCAGGTGCTTTTTCTGAGTTGAGTTCACTTTAAACTCTCTTCTTCTCTCCTTTAATGATGACCTTGCGCCATGACAATTTCCCTTTGAGCTCACTAATTCTTTAAGTTTAGCCAGTTTTTATGTTAATGATGTGAACGATGACGGATCTTAGACTAGCTATAAGGTGTGGGGGCCAAATTTTGAAATTTAATAGCTTCTAATAAAATTATAGATATCTAACTTTTAACAAAAAACAGTAATTTAACAAAAAACAGTAATTTGACGGAAGTTAAGTTTAAATCAATGAAGTCTATCGAACCCACTAAATTCTTATAAAAGCTTGTAACCTACAATGAAAAATTAATGATTAAATAATTAAATCAATGTAAGAAAACAATATGTGAGTTTGATCTAAAAAGTTAAATTACATAAATTTATATAGGTCAATAGGTGTAAACAACATATTACGATACATGTACAATTGTACAACATACGTAGAATATATGTAAAATATATATACATATATATATATATATATATAATTTTAAAATATGTAACAATTTGGTTTGTAGTTGATAAACTTTCACTACCTAACTAAATTTGTATATTAGATAAGTTATATTTTATTTTTAAGATTATTTTTTTAAAAAAAATATATCTGCACTATTTTTTTTTCCAAACATAATTGACATTAAAATTCATTATCTAATATTATCTTGTTTATTTCATTTTCAATTGTTATTAGAAAAATCTTTAAAATTGACATATATATATATATATATATATATATATATATATATATATATATAGAAAACAATAGCATAAAAAATGTAACATATTTTTAGGTTACATATTTCAAAAACTAGGGTTGTATTTGTATATATAAGTAAATGAAAGAGATATGATCACTTTTGTTATCATATGTTGTTGTTAAATATGTGTATAAAATCCATATTGTTATATAATAAAGAGAACAAGAGAAAAATTGAGGAGAGAATCGATCAGTATATTTCCATTCCATATGATGGGGTATATATATATATACACGCACAATGTAGTTAGGGTTTGCTTGGATAAGAATATAAACTCTAAATATATCTAGAATATTCTGGAATGATACAACAATTATAATGGGCATCCACACAATATTTCATAACACATATATATTATTAATTTTGAAATTTATGAACATGTTTAACTCTTTTTAATATAACATTGTTGATATAAAATGTGTCATTAGAGCGGTGAGTTTGATCTAAAAATTTAAATTACACAAACTTATATGGATCAATAGATGCAAACAACATATAATATTACATGTACAACGTACGTACAATATATGTACAAAAATAATATAGTTTAAAAATATGTACCATTTTGGTTTGTAGTTGATAAACTAATTATGAAATAAATTTGTAATGTTATGATTTGAGCGTAAAAGTT